GAGGTGAAAACAATGTCACTTTGCCTTAAAACATGCCTGAAGGAAATAACTGGCATAAGCAATATACAATTCTCACCATATTCATCTTCTTGTTTAATTATATTTTGCTTCGTGATAATATTGACATGTTCAGTTTGGCTGCTGCGTAGATTGAACATAGCAAAAAACAAAGACCCGTGACCCAAGTTTCGTTTTAGAGTGTGTAGAAACTAATTAAGTCAACTAAATATATATAATTCAGTAGTGTAATGATTGTATGAAGGAGAGAAACGTTTAGAAGTGTGTGGGAAGGTTTTTGAAGAAGGGTGGGGAGTGTTGTTAATGCGTGGTCTGGATTTCCATAGAATGTAACATGTAGGCTATTGAGATTAACAATTATATCGATCGGCATGTACAAGGACGACTCAGGAAATAGCATTTATGAAATTGCGTTTAAAATGATTCATTTACGGAAATACACAATAATAGAATAATTTAGAACAAAACAGAGAACTTTTTAACACTTCGGAATCAGGAACGTTATAGGACATTAAAAAATGCGTTCAAAATCAGGACGATTTATCTACAATAAAATTGCCTTTCATTTATTACTCACCTTGGCAATTTGTGACATGTTCCTTTTACAAATGAAATAAAGAGAATGCATCCACTTACTGGAAATATGTAAATAAACTAAGGAAGCCACATTTCATCAGTTGGAAGCCCTTTAAAGAATTGAAGACTCACTGTAGCGCAAACTTCCCTGTACGTATCATCAGTCTAACGTATTTTATAATTTCTACATTAATTTAAATATTCCAACGTTTAAAACAGCGAAATTAAATTATAACTCTGTGCAATGTATCCTACCTCTTACATGACCTTCTTTACTCGTGTAACTTGCAGTTCTGGTTCGGTGAGGAGCCAGTGTTGCTAGGCAACTGATCATGTGACTTGGATTGCTGCTCAATAAAGAGATGACAATGAAGTTGCCGCTTATACTCGTTCTGCTGTATGTTGTTTCTTTGTTATGGTATTCTACGACGATGTATCTACTTCTGAGATTACTTAGCTCCGAATGATATACTGCAGATGTTTCATAACGATGAAAAGGCAAGGAGTTTGTCGTTAGGTTATGGTAGGGCAGGTTAGGTTAGGTGGACTGCTTTAGGCCTGACGTAATATTTCTAATTTTTTCTCATTGGACCCAGGATAACAAATATATATAATAAAGCGCGAGATATAGAATATAGCACGAGTAATATAATAAATTATGAGATATGCCTATCTATGCTAGTTCTCTCTGTAAGCTTTACAGTATCTTCATAATGTTTCGCTGTCAGAAACCTGCTTCAAGTTGCTTAATACGCTACGTGTAAATTTGTAATTACGTCAGTAGAGTAGTGTCTTTCGTAAGAGACAGAAAGCAGTTTAGCTCGTTAACAAATTCCTCTGCTTTCACACAACCCTAAGGTTTATTACCGTATTCACACTAATTGGCCGTAGTCTTCATCCTGAGCCTGGTGAATGAAGTTCATACCATACCACTCTGTATATTTACGATCTGTTCTAATTTTATCCTCCTATATACAACTTTACCTATGTGTTCCAAGCTTTATAAAGTCGCTTTAACGGACGATATAATACATTATAGAAAGATGTAATCCATATTTCCCAATTAAAAGATAAAACTTAAAATATCACATACCACCTGAAACTGTCATTCTCTGAAGTTTGGTATCCATCTTCGTGATAAGTTTACTTAAAAATTGTATCCAGAGGGTGAAAGGAAGAAAACATAAAGTTGGTCGTCGGCGGAAAGGGGGGGGGGTAAATCTGCTGGAGTGATTACATCTCACGGTTAAAAAGAATAAAAATAACAGTGTGGAGAGAGTTTCAAAATGAACACCACAAAACAAGACCGATGAGACTTTCTGAGGATAGAAAACGCGCGAATTAAGCGGGTCTTTTTACGTTGCATTAGGTTAGCTGTATATAAATTACGAAATATCAAAGGAGACTGTGAATTGTATATATGAATAGGCAATGATATGGGAAGGAATAGTCCTTGGTTATATCAGTGTACTGTCCCAATATTTACCAGGATGACTGATTAAAGCCACGACATATCTCCAACCAGCACATGCTTAGACAGGATTCGAATCTGATACATTCACAGTGAAAGAGTCAGATACAGTGTTCCGATAATTTAACATGAATATTTCCGATAACTTAATGAAGTTAGAGACAGAATTTTCTGTAATGTTATCTTTGTAGCTCGTAATAATATTGTTATCTTACACGTTAGCTTAGTCGTGGCTGACTCCGGTGATCACGGCTGTCTTGATTTAATATTTTTGTGTATTTACTCAGTCTCTCCTGGTGAGTAATGTGATAGTATCTCAGAATAGGCCACAGCTAATAATCCCCGTTTATTTCCAGTTTATCATAATGGGGCCGAGCCACATAGTCAACAGCCTCTAAAATGAGGACAGAGATGGTCCTCGAAACGTCGGCGATTAATCATCATCTAACACGGCTGATAGCCCGAGAAGACTTTATTAAAGTTAAGGAATCATTGGAGATAGGAACGTAGAATGACTAATTTGAATAATTCTTAATTTATAGTTGCCTGAGATTGAAGCGATGCAAGAAAAGTGGACGTCAGAAGATCGTCTCGATACGTCAGATTCTGCAGACTGTAACGGTTTCTTTCTTTCTTGTAGGGTTCAGGAAACTGACGGATCTTTCTTCGAGAGCTTCACGGCGCTGTCATGGAAGCACGAGAACAGACGACTGATGGCGATGCAGGAGGTAGAGGGAAGAGCAGAGGACCCTCCCCCGAGCGAGCAATCCGTAGGAATCAAGCCCATGGAGTGCAGGATACACAAGAAAGAGGTTCGTAGCACTGAATTCTCATTAGTGTCACAAGGAGGGGCCACATTAATGTCAGTACGAAAACGCAAGAGAATAACTCTTGTAAGATTTCATTGTCTGTCGTCGTGGTGGACAGTGGAAATAGTAAATGAAACCTGTGGTGTATCTTCCTTAAATTTAATCACACTAACAATATTGTTAGATGAAGGGAATAGAGTTTGAAGTTTCTGTTATCTGTTACATCCTGACAGGCTAGATAATCTTCTTCAAGGCTAAGGTCCTATAGCCTGTCCCGTCTTCAATTAAATTATTGTTTGGTCTTCTTGGTCCATTGCGTCCTTCCTGTTTTGTAATTTAATAGAGTTTTTGGAAGT